CGATTGATTCCTTGTACGTACCATCGTGGAGCGAGCATTGGTGTTGTCGGGTCGGTTTTGCATGCGTACCATATCGGATTAGGGAAGAACGAGTGGCGTGAACACGTTGAAGCGAATAGATTTTTTTTCGTTGAAGTTGTCGGCGGTGAGAAGGATGATGAGCGACAGGAGGCGTGTGTTTCGGCTGGTGGTCGAGTTGGAGAAGATGAAGGGAAGAAGTTTGAATGGGGTTTAATTGGGTAATGCCGTGCGTGGGAGGGGAAATGAGTTTGAATAGGAGTCAAAATGGGTTTTGGGTTTAATGATAAAGTGTTTGGAAAATTGAAAAAGGTAAATGAAAGGTGATAGGGTGGGGTGCACAGCATAGTAAAATAAAAGAGGAAGAGAAGGGATTGGGGTGTTGTGCGGTAGGAAGATAACGAAAAGGGGTAAGAGAAAAAATAGGGTTTGCTAACATACGCCAACCCCTCTATGGGTTTTGCTAATGTGCGTCGTTTAGTTAAACGGTGCGCACAGCTGAAGACTTTTTTTTCTGCTTAATTTGATCGTGTACTGCTCAATGGACTCTGAAATTAACACAGTTTGAATCATAATTCCGTAATTTCTCGCCGTTTAAGTTTGAATAAAAATATTCGGTTCCTGCAAAATAAAAATAGAAATTAAATTAAACATGCTTGACGAAACAAAAACAAAAGGTAAAAATAAAATTAAATAAATAAAATAAAAATATAGCGGTGTCGAAAACAATGGGTTGCCTCCCATGAAGCGCTTTTGTTTAATGTCGTTAGCTCGACGACCTGATTCAGACTATAGGTTTCGTGACAAACACTTCCACTTCATTCGCTTTTTCCAACTAAGAAATTTCTTATGAGAAATTCGAAAATTCTCACAAAGATTTCTTCGAATATTTCCCAAATTAAAAATCATGTCGAAAAGAATGGTCGTCAAAACAACTTTTTTACCAAAAATTGATTTCTTCAAAAGATTTCTCGATGGCTTCGACTTAATTTTTGGTACCTGCAAAAGAGAAAGTAAATCTTTAGTTTTTAAAGGAGTTAAGATCAAATCTGAATCAACAACTGGAATATTTTCTAACTCCCTTATGTCGTCTTTTTTATCATCCGATTTCTGGCATAAATCATCAACAAAGTTAGATTCATCATCAACAAGTTCAATAATGCCAACAAAATTAATACTATGCACGTTATCTGGATATCTCATTGCTTTATAAACATCAAATTTTAAGATCTCACCGTCGAACTCCATAGTAAAAATACTGCTTCAAACGTCAATTTTTGTATTTGTCGTGCTCAGAAAGGGACGACCGAGGAGGATTTCAGAACCAATTTTGCTATGATCATTTTCCATATTAATCACATAAAAATCAACAGGGAAAATTAAGTCTTCTACCTCTACTAGAACATTTTCTATCAGTACTTCAGGATAAATAATTGATTTGTCGGCTAGCTGAAGTGTAACTATCATCTCTTTCAAAGGCTCGATGGAAATTAAATTATAAACGAAGAGAGGATTAAGTTGATAGAGGCACCTAGATCGCACATAGCTCGCTTGATTTTAACCTCACCAATTTTACATGGTATTGAAAACATACCTTGGTCTTTATATTTCGGTACAAGCGGTCGTTGGAAAACTGCTGAGACATGCGCACCTAAATCCACTTTCTCGACCCTGGTAAGCTTTCTTTTAGTCGTACAGAGATCCTTCAAAAACCGACAATACCTTGGAACTTTCGAGATAACCTCAAGAAGAGGTATATTAACTTCCACCTTCCGAAGTACGTCTAATATTTCCTTTTCCATGGTTTTTTTATCATTTTTAACTAACATTGATGGAAAAGGTGGTGGAACGTCATAGGGAGATGGTGTTGGATCGTCCATTTGTTCTTCATCATTCTCTTTCTGGGATCCTGCGTCAACTGCTTCTTCTTCCCTTTTGGAGTTCGAAGATTCTTCTTTGGGTATGCTTCATCATTTTCTTTTTGGGATCATGCGTCAACTTCCTTTGGGTCTGATTATTCAACAATTGTACCGCTTCAGAGGGTGATGGCGCTAACATTTTCTATTGGATTCGGCTCAGTTTTTTATGATAACCTCCTTTATGACTCTAATCTCCCTACGACTTGAGTCAGTTGGCTTATCTGTTTGTCATTCTCTTGGAAGTGGGCTTCAGTTTGAGTCTGGAATTTTTCTTGTGATAGTGCTAACTTCTCGACTATCGATTCTAATGATGACTTCTACGGTTGTTGCGGTGGTGGAGGTCTCGCTTGATAGCCTTGATTCGATCTCAGGTTCTGAGCATAACTGAAGTTCGAATGATCCCTCCATCATGGGTTGTATGTATTACCGTAAGGATTATAAGCTCTTTGGGGAAGTCCCGTAAAGTTTTCGACTGCGTTGACTTGAGCTACTGCGTCGTCTTGAATCAGTGGACAACCGGCTATTGGATGATAAGGTAATACACATATTCCACATAATCAGTTTTGTCCTGTCTTTCCTGCAACAAGAAAGTTTACGACTTCAGTTAACTTGTCTATTTTATTTTCTAAGGAATATGAACTTATCTCATGAACCCTTCGAGAAGGTTCATTGTTTGTGCGAAAGTTTTGAGAATTTGTGGCCATCGTCGATATTAGGTCTCTAGCCTCAGTAAGAGTCATATTCACCAAGGCTCCACCGTTTGGCAACATCGATCATCTTCGTTTCCAAGGAGATAATCCTTCATAAAAGTATTGAAGGAGTGTTTGTTCAGTTAACCCATGTTGTAGGCAACTATAACATATCTTCTTAAACCTCTCTCAGTAGTCGTAAAGTGACTCTCCATCAAGCTGCTTGATTCCAAGTATTCTCCTTCATAGTTTACTTACTTTCGCCGCAGGAAAAAACCTGTCAAGAAAAAGACGAGTCAATTGAGCCCATGTAGTAATAGAATTAGGAGGAAGATAAAATAACCACTCCTTAGCCGAATCAACTAAGGAAAAAGGAAAAGCTCTAAGTTTTATTTGGTCATCGGTTACTCCCTGTGGTCTCATGCTGGAGCAGACCATATGAAATTCCTTGAGATGTTTGTATGGATCCTCGTTTGGCAATCCGCGGAATATAGGGAGGAGATGAATAAGGTCAGTTTTCAACTAGTACGGAGTTTCCCCTTAGGGAAAATCAATGCACATAGGCCCTTGCTCAGTAGGAGCCGTGGCTAACTCCCGGATAGTAAGATCGGCTATCGGATTTATATTACCTGAATTTGAATATTCTTCTGGATTTGTTTGTTGTCTCATTCTTTCCCGAAGTGTTTGTGCATGGAGTCTCCTAGCTTTGGCTTCAATCTCTAGGTCGTACTCCACTAATGCTCCCGGATTAGACCTGGTCATAAATACAAAACAAACAAAAATAGTAACTTTGGCGAAGTCCCCGGTAACAGCGCCAATTTGACAACTGTCGTTTTCGATGTCAAAATAATTCATTTTTTCTCAATTAATCAATAAGGAAATACATAGTATAGAGAAATAAGGGTCGAATCCTCAGGGACTTAAAAAATCACAAATTTATGTTTGGATGGTTTTAGCCAGGCGTGAATGGAAAATGGGGGGTTTATAGTATGAGATTTAAATTGTAATAAAAAATGATTAAATAAAATAAAAGCAATTAAAGTAAAAATAAGATGATAGAGATTGTGAATAAATACTGTAAAAATAGCCTCAAGCCTTGCTTTGACTCAATTTCCTTTAGATCATTGAATAAGATTTTCCCTCCGGGATTCACGTCGGTTATTTTGTCTACAAGGGCTATCCCCGTGACTCTATCTTGTTTACCGAATACCCAAGGCAATCTTTGATTCCAGCTTCGGTAATTGATTCTAACAATATCAATTGTTGCAGATCAATTACCGTTTAAGTTTGTGGCGTCCGACTCGGATTATTGCTTAAATAATCGTCAATTCCGATCTCAATTCCCTCTTGGCGAAGCCATCTCGCCAAGTATGTTCCCAGGAAGTCGAATTGTTTTCTATAAGCCGAATCTTCCTCCCACACATTTAATCGCAATAACCTCTTGACCAAAGTTGATCTTTGATTTTGAAAACTGTTTTGATTTTGAAAAATAAGCGCAGAGATTGAGAGAGATATTCCGAAGATATTAAGGGCCTGTTTCAATTCTCCCGATGGAATTGAGTCATCACGATAGCTCTCGGCTTATGAAAAGTTTAGCTAAGCATGACAAAAGTCATACTTAGCATTTGAAAACAAAGCTTGGAAAATAAAAGAAAAATGAAAAGAACTTGAAAAGTAAAAAGAGAAAGCTTTTATAAAAACTAGAGAGAAAAGAATATTGTAATACGAATGATGAGTTTAGACTTACCCGAAGTAGGTATTTATAGCCTCTCAAAGCCCTAGGATAAACAAGAAAATAAAATAATCCTAAGATAATGTTTTTCAAATTTAAATTCAAACTTAAATTAGTCTCCTAATGCAACTCTGCTCGTCCATTTCCAGAAGGCGTGCAGAGAAAGTCTTATAGAAACCGTCGCTGAATGGACCTTCTAGAAACCACCACGTCAGCCCGCGTCGTGCCCAGAGTTGTGCCCATGTCTCTAGCCGCGACCAAATAATAAACAAAATGGAGAATGTGCCTATTTTGTCATTAATTCTGGAAAGTAAGGATCTTCACAAAATCAAGTGTAACACAACCAATTCAACAGCAACAATTCCATAAAATCGAAGAAATAATGAGCAAAGATTAACGATTTTGAACACTCATCAGCTGAAGATATGAATAGATCTGAAATCTACCCACTGCCACCTGGGTTCGTGCCTAGCAAAACTGGTCGGTGGAAGAACTACATGTGGTTTACAAGAGTCTTTCAGAATAATATTTGAATTATCCCTATTTGTCTATACCCGGGGAATAGGTGATCTTTTGTAAGGGTGAATAAACATTTTTGTTTAATTTCAATAAAAGATGCATTTTTCTCTTTTCATGACAAACAGTTTTCTTGTTTCATTTCTTTTGAATTCAGTTATTTTTCCCTTTTCTTCATTTCAATACTCCATTTCCATTTTCTTTCGACTTTAATTCTTAACTGTTCCATGTGGGATATTTTTCTCTCACGCATACACATTTTCTTTTCCTTCAGGTCCCCAGATAACGATAATCTAGGCACTGATGATCCTGATCCGGAGGTGGATTTTGAATCGACCATTTGTCTTGGGGAATTTGATGAAAGCGACAATGAAGAGGAGTGCAACTTACCTACCGAATTGCTGAGAATAGTAGAAAGAGAAGAAAAGCAAATACTGCCACATGAGGAGAAGATTGAAATCTTGAATCTAGGCACTGAAGATGACAGAAAGGAGGCTAAAATGGGCACAACTCTTTCGACTGAAGCAAGACAAAGCTTGATAACCTTGCTTCTAGACTACAGAGATGTGTTCTCCTGGTCGTACCAAGACATGTCGGGGTTAGACAAACATATGATAGTCCACAAACTGTTAATCAAACCAGAATGTAAACCTGTGCAGCAAAAGCTAAGAAGAATGCGACCAAAAATGCTCTTTAAGATCAAAGAAGAGGTCAAGAAGAAATTTGATGCCGATTTTCTTCAATTGGACAAGTATACGGAGTTAGTGCCCAACATAGTGTCGGTTCCAAACAAAAACGGGAAAGTACGCATGTGTTTTGATTACCGAGACCTTTAATAAGGTAAACCCTAAAGATAACTTTCCTCTATCTCATATTGACATATTGATGGATAACACGGCCGTAAATACTTTCTTTTCATTTATGGATGGATTCTTGGGATACATTCAGATCAAGATGTATCCCGAAGACATAGAGAAGACCACGTTCGTCACAATGTAGGGAACTTTCTGCTATAAGGTGATGCCATTCGGATTGAAAAATACTGGGGAAACATATCAGAGAGCTATGGTGACCCTATTCTATGACATGATATACAAAAAAATCGAGGTTTATGTCGACGACATGATTATCAAGGCACAAACCGAGAATGAACATGTCGAGAACTTGAGAAACTTCTTCCAGAGATTGAGGAAGTTCCAGCTGCGATTGAACCCTAGAAAGTGTACCTTCGGGGTAACACCCGGGAAGCTATTAGGCTTCATGGTCAGCAGAAAAGGCATCGAGGTCGATCCCGATAAAGTTAAGTCTATCCAGAGTCTACCTTCATCGTGAACACAAAAAAAGATCAGAGGTTTTCTAGGCAGATTGAACTACATAGCACGATTTATATCTTAGTTAACCGACAAATTTGACCCAATCTTCCGTCTTCTACGAAAGAACAACCCAGTAGCATGGGATGAAAACTGCCATATTGCATTCGAAAAAGTAAAGAAGTATTTATCTCGCACTCCTATCTTGATATCCCCTATCCCAGGCAAACCTCTGTTCTTGTATCTATCCATATTCGAGAACTCAATAGGGTGTGTCCTGGTTAACATGACGAATCTAGAAGAAAGGAAAGAGCCATCTATTATCTGCAAGAAGTTCACCGATTGAGAGGTCAGATATTCTTCTATCAAGAAGGTTTGATGTGCTTTAGTCTGGGCTACAAAAATACTTAGACAATGCATGTTGTATCACACCACTTGGCTAATTTCCAAGTTAGACCCTTTAAAGTACATGATGGGTGTACCTGTTCTATCTGGAAGGTTAGCCCGATGGCAGATGCTATTGTCTAAATTTGACATCGAGTATGTGAGCCAGAAAGCCATAAAAGGAAGCGTCATATCGGATTTCTTGGCAAGCAAAAACTGATGAAAATTACGAACCTTTGGACTTTGACTTCCCAGACGAGGACCTGATGGCTATCACCTTAGAAGAGGCAAGTACTTCCACCAACGGTTCCTGAAGAATGCATTTCGATGGTGCATCAAACGCATTAGGACATGGTATCGGGGCAATCCTGATCTCTCCAGAAATAAATCACTACCCATTTACCAGCAAACTGAACTTTGATTACACCAATAACATGGTAGATTATGAAGCCTGTGTCTTGGGAATTCGAGCTGCACTGGGGAAAAACATAAAGACCTTGCGGATATACGGAGATTCAACATTAGTAATCTATCAGCTCCGTGGAGAATGGGAAACCAAAGATGTGAAGCTGATGGAATACCGAAAACTAATATTGGATCTGCTCGAAGAGTTCGATGAAGTCACATTCCACTTTGTACCAAGAGAAGAAAATCAAATGACTGATGCTTTAACTACCTTGGCAGCCGCATTCAAGGCTGGCGGGGAGTCTGAAATAATGCCAATTGACATGCAGTCATATGAGTACCCGGCTCATTGCTACCAAATTGAGGAAGTGAAAAACACTAAGCCTTGGTACTACGAATTCTATAATACATCAAGCATCGAAGTTATCCGGAAAAAGCCACTGAAACCGATAAAAGAACTATTAGATGGATGGCAGTTGGATATATCCTTGACAGGGATGTTTTATACAAGAAAAGCCATGATCAAGTCCTGTTAAGGTGCGTCGATGTAGATGAAGCTAAGATGATAGTGGAAGAAGTACATGATACATATGATGTCGAGGCAGATCATGAGATGCAGATATTTTTTTGTCCACACTAGAAAGTGATTGCTTCAACTGCACTAGAATATGTCATAAGTGTCATATTTACGGAGATAAAATAAATGTTCCACCTCATCCACTTCATGTCATGACATCACCATGACCTTTCTCAATATAGGGCATGGATGTTATCAGGAAAATACATCCGAAGGCTTCGAACGGTCATCGATTCATCCTTGTGGCAATCGATTACTTCATGAAATAGGAAGAGGCTGCGTCATATGCCAGTATCACTCAATCCATTATTTGTAAGTTTCTGAAGAAAGAAATCATATGTCGGTATGGTCTACTTAAAAGGATCATTACCGATAATGCTACAAACTTGAACAACAAAAAGATGGATGCTGCTTGTGACCAATTCAACATAAAACATCACAATTCTACTGCTTAGATACCAAAGATGAACGGAGCAGTAGAAGCAGCAAACAAAAACATTAAGAAGATATTGGAGAAAACAACCGAGACTTACAAAGACTGGCATGAGAAGTTGTCTTTTGCTTTGTTCGCTTACCGAACCTCAGTACGAACCTCGACTGGGGCAACTCCATTTGAACTAACTTATGGAATGGAAGCAGTGCTACCCATTGAAGTAGAGATTTCGTTACTCCGGGTCTTGACAGGAGTCAAACTGGATGATGCAGAATGGGTGCAATCCAGATATGATCAGCTTTAATCTGATAGATGAAAAGAGACTGAAAGCCATTCACCATGGTCAAATCTATCAGAAATGAATGATTCGAGCACATGAAAAAAAGGTGCGCCCGAGAATATTCCGTGAAGGAGATCTAGTGCTAAAGAGAGTTTGGCCAATCCAGAAATATTTTCGAGGAAAATGAATGCCAAATTGGGAAGGACCTTATGTCGTGAAAAAGACCTTTTTCGGAGGACCATTGTCTTGGCTGAAATGGCCGGACCTGAACTGCCATATCCCATCAATTCGGATGCAGTCAAGAAATACTTCGCTTAGGATGAAAACCCGAGAGGGCATCCTAAGTCGAAAAAAGAACAAAACAGAGAAAAATGTTTAGGGTGAAAACCCGAAAGGGCGCCCTAAATTGAAAAAAGGGCATCTTACAACCAAGGATGGGCCTAAGTTGAAAACCCGAAAGGGAGATTTGGATATTGACAGTGGAAACATCCCGACATCTGAATCTTCTACAGACTCAACAAGTCGAAGAAAGGTTGTACTCTTCAGAACGTTGTCGCTTTAAAGATTCCTTGACAAAGGCTGCATTCAAGGTCACCTAACGACTTTTCAGCTCAGAAGTGCCCACATTATCGAAATCTAAGACATTAATTCACACTTCATCATGTATTCATTTTCCAAAATGTTTGTCATGTATCATTTGTCCTTTTTTCCTTATGAATAAAGACAATCTTTTTCTCTAAATCAATTTCTTTTGAGCATATTGGAATGAACTTAAACCTAATGATTTATTTACTTTTGCAAAAGATGATTACATATTACTGTACAAAGATTCATTGAAAAGTACAGGTACCCATAAATCGATCAAGGCTCATGCACATACTTGAGATGGTCGAGAAACATTTCCCAAATCAAGGAACAAAGAATACCATATTTACACATTTGAAGAATTCAAGATCGGGAATCAGAACTTCAAGATTCCATAATCAAGAGTCAACAAGACAGGAAACCGGAGATCGAGATTTCTCTCCAGAGCCCAAAAATAACATATGTTTCATATGCATTTTAGGCATACCTAAGAGCATGGCATCCATAGCATCACATATATGCATAACTTTGCAAGTTTTAACTAGAGCCAATTTCAACTTTACAGCGAAGGATATTGGACTTGAAGCGATACAATTTGCTCGAGAGTAGATTTCAACTTCACGACGAAGGATATCTAACTCGAAGCCAAACTTCACAACGAATGGGCCATCCACTGATTCAACTTCACGACGAAGAGAATCGTGTCCACCCACAACATACAATACTTGGATTTCAACTTCACGATGAAGGATATTTAAGTCAAGGCTCAACTTCGCAACAAAGGGACCATCCACGATTTCAACTCCACGACGGAGGATATCGTACCCACAAAGCCATGATTTCAACTCCACGACGGAGGATATCGTGGACACATCCACGATTTTAACTTCACGGTGAAGGATATCGTGTCAACTCTACATTGGATTTCAACTTCACGATAAAGGATATCCAATTCAAAGCTCAACTTCATGATGAAAGGGCTTCCTAGTTTCATTTAGAGCCAATTTTAACTTCACGGCGAATGATATTGGACTTGAAACAGTACAAGCTTGGATTTCAACTTCACGACGAAGGATATTCAAGTCAAGGCTCAACTTCACAACGAAGGGGCCACCCACAGTTTCAACTTCACGATGAAGGGAATCATGCACACAAGCAACATCCATCTCTAGATTGGATTTCAACTTCACGATGAAGGATATCCAACTCAAAAGAATGAGTGTTTGTCAATAAACTTTCCAGTTTCAGAGTCAATTTCAACTTCACAGCGAATGATATTGGCCTCGAAACAGCACGACTTACATTGGATTTCAACTTCACGACGAATGATATCCAATTCTCAGGCTCAACTTCATGACGAAGGGGCCATATATGATTCCAACTTCACAACGAAGGGTATCGTACTCCAACAGATTGACCCAACTTCACGATGAAGAAGTCATCTGTAACACAACAACACCGAAGCCTTCAAGAAAAGTTTCACCTTCACGACGAAGTATCTTGGGCTAGAAGACGATCCAGGAGCTACTTCCTAATACTCTGAGTTCGATTTCAACTTCACAACGAAGGATTTCGTGCTCAGAATTTTCCAGTCCAACTCAACCTCATGACGAGGAAGTCATTTCATATTTCAGTTCAAATTGACAAACCAGTCAAACATCGAATTTTAACTCTACGACAGAAGATATTAGATATGGACGAAATCTGTGCCTTTTAATCTTTGCTCTATTTTTGTTACACGATAATAAGCAAAGAGGGGAAGCTGTAGACACATGATTTCGTCATACCCCACTATTATAATATTTATATTATATACATATGATATTATTAATTTCATTTTTTACATTTATAGGCCCCAACAAACGTTACAAAACATGTGGCCCAGTAGCTCATTTGGCAGACCCAAACTACACGTGACCCGAGCAACCCACACCACGCTACTCCAACACGCAACCCAAATCCAGAACCCGCTCCAAGTCCTCAACCTGAATTAGAGCTAGGGTTTCCAGAACACCAGCATGTCCCTCCTCAGCGCCGCAAGCTTCAACCAAGAAGAGTCTATGTACCTCACGCAACCGTTGCCGTTTTTCATGACAATACTCCAATAACCCGAATCCTCCGACGCAAAAAAGGCTCGTCCACCACAAGAACAACCAACAAATATCAGAATTCTAGTTCAAATAAGATGATAAATATAGTTTTTTTCACTATAAATAAATATGTAACACAATATCAGACGATTACACAAAGAATTTGCACACAAGATACCACGGTTGTACACGATTTTCACAGAGAATACTTACACAAAATATACAAGAGATTATCGAGAGAAACTTCGAGGAAATCAAGAGCAAAATCTGTAAAATTTCGAAACTTTATTCAAAATAAGGGTACATTTTTTGTTCTCTCTCGCGTGTTATTCGACTTCAATGTGGCTATTTTTGGGTTTGGTCTCGTTGTTTTGATTCGAAAAACACCAAAGGACGGGGTTTAAGCCGATGAACAGGGGGCGTTTTCAAGATCTACTTTCGTAGATCTAGCCCCCGAGCCTTTTTTTTTGAAAAACTATTTGAATTTTTAAAACGGGAAGGGGAAGAACTTTTAAAAAAATCAATTTTTTTTAGTTTCACCGTTGATGAACGGTGACCAGCGTCGTTCAATGGAGGCTGACGAGACGGCAATGGTGGCCGGAATCTGGAATAAGCTGTGGTGTTCATGTGTTCTTCAAGAACACAAGAACACCCAAAGAGAAATGATAAAAAGGGGGAGGGATGTTTTGGCGAGAAGGAAGAGAAATGAAGAATTAAAAATAATTAACTTTTATACTAGACCCGATTCGGCCCTCTGACCCGACCCAAGAAGCCTAGGATCCGCGTGTTTTTGTTTCAAAATGGGTAAACTACGTTTTGGCCCCCTTGTTTCTTACATATTTTATTTTGCCCCAACATTTGATTTTTTCACCAATTTTTCTTATAAATTTGACCCCTAATTCTTGTTTCTTACAATTTAGTCCCTTCATATTTTTTTTCTTATTTAAATATTTTATTATATATATATTTTTATTATTTTTATTTGATTATTTTTATTTAAGCACTATATTTTATCTTTATATATATATATATCCTTTTAATATGTTATTTATACGTTTATTATTATTATTATTATTATATATTTTAGTTATTTGATTATTTTTTTATTTGCATTATATTATATATATATATGTATATGTTTTCTTTTTTCTTTTTACTTTGTGTATTTATTTTTAATTTTTTATTATTCTCTTTATTTTTACTTTATTTTTATTCCCTTGATGTTCATGTTATTTTATATTTTTATTGTAGTCATTATTTTTATTTATTTACTAATTGTATATAGATTGTTGCTATTTTCTTTATTTATTATTTTTTCTTTTTTTTCTATTTTTATCCCTTTTTTATTTTCTTTATCTTTTTATCTTTATGTTATTTTTTTATTTCTTTTGTCTTTCTTTATTTTATTTATTTTCATTTTTTTCTTTTACACATTTCTTGATTTCTTAATGGTTTACTTTTAAATCAATCGGTGGTAAGTTTTAGATCGTTATTTTACCTTTTAATTTAAATTTACAACTTTCTTAATTAAAAATAACTGGAAATTACGTAGTACCGAAAGGACAGTTTAAGGGTGCTAACCCTTCCTTGACTGTAACCGACTCTCGAATTAAATACATCTTTGGTAAGACGCAGATTAGGTAAGAAATAAGGTATCCGATCAACCCATATTCTTTCAAATAAATGATCGGTGGTGACTCCAAATCATTTTTCCTAAGTCGAAGCCCAACTCCGGGGCCTATCCGAAAGACGAACGCGACAACCTTCAAAATATATCCATCAAACAAA